AAATTAAACGATCAAGAAATCAAATTATGCCTTTGTATCACCCCTACCAAACAACTGCCACACCTCAACTGAAAGTTCTAAGTTGTCATTTGTTAGGAGTAATTTGCGATAAGAATTTGACAACAATCCACAAACACACGCACACACGCATATGCATATGCATATGCATATACATATACATATACATATATATATATATATATATATATATATATATATATGTAAAACAAAGCTAATTAAAAACCACTATCATATGTATATTTAGGTGGCAAATAGGGTTTGTTTGGATTGGTCTTTATTTCCCAAAATATATTTGCTTACATCATCATTACAATTTCCAACACACCTTTTTACCTTCCCAATTACCTTTTTATCTCACATACATCACATCACAAAAAGTGCTACAATAAAAATATCTCAAATAACTTACAATCCAAACAAACCCTAGTGTCATGAAAAAACTACTCGCAATGAGTCAACATCCGGTAACTGTGAGTAACAGCAAAATTCCCCGTCCTCGTCCTGAGGATGAGGTATGGGGATGTGCTGCCGGATATGTGTGTGACATTAACATACATAAATAATTTCATACGTGTACAGGTTTTAGTTATGTGTGTCTGGGTGCTTTCACAGCCCCAAATTTATGTTTCTTTCTTGTGCTCGCAGACAAGATTCAAGGGCCATTCCATTGCTTGTCACATTGCATGTCTATTTATCACTCGAATTGATGCAAAGTGGAACGTCATTTTCTGCACTGTTTTCTTTGCTTTCAAACCTCTTGTGTCTTTCTTCTTCTTTTTTCTTTTTTTTTTTTTTTGGGTCTCACAATCATAATATTTATATAACCTAATTTATCATATTTTACAAGAAACAGGGGAGTTTTAAAGAAACTTATATAAAGGGCTAGCAAGTATGACAAGATTAAAGAGGTGTTTTAGCACCTCATTTGAATTTTTTTTTCAAAAAAGCTAGAATTAAAGAAGGACTAAATTTTAATTCCTTTTTTTGTGACCACTAAGCTTTGTGGTTCAAACCTCGTGTCATTTGCCACTTAAGAAGGGAAAGTAGTACACTAGAAAATTTCGTGGGGCTGCAACTCAAGATTTCTTTTCAGAATTCATTTATAGTCCCTCAAAGTAGTCAAAAATTTCACCGTTTTCCTATTAAAAAGTAGATTCTGCCCTCCAAAATTTTACAAATCCTTCAACGTTCCTTCAAGAGTTTTAAAAAATTTTTCGATGTTATAATTAGAAATTGCCTCCCAAAGTTTTAAAATATGAAAGAATACCTTTGAAATGTACATCTTTACTAATCTAGCCCTTATTTTGATCGCTATTGTCTAAGGAAAACTTTTAAAGTTTTCGTGAATATATACATTTTTCAATCATTTTTTTTATATATATAAAATATATATATATATATATATATATATATATATATATTAAATCGTTACAGTATTTTTTTTTGTTTTACAAAAATTTCAAAAAGTAGCAATCCAAAGGGGTTATTAATTGCTCATCCTCCTAGTGCTTTTAAGAAACTTTTACTTTGCTCCTGATCTTAAGATAAAGTCGAATATAATATTTAACTGCAGATCTACATGCGTGATGTGTAATTCGACAAGATGAAATCAACATAGGCCCATGCATAAAATACATGATATGCACAGGGGCATGGATTATAATAAAATATGTTTTTGTTCAGGGAGATTTTTACCTTGGATCCTGATGTATTAGACGTAATGTAGAGTCTAGACTAAGATCCTTCAGATAACCATTAGGGCCCCATTTATCACCTTTTTGAGTTAGGTCGGTGAGGTGGAGCAGACACAACCAAGTCTACATCTTTACGCCCAAAGCCCAATCCACGAACCATTGGTTAGAATTATTTACACTCAATTTCGAGAAGAATATGATAATTTTCCTTCAAATAATGAGCAATTAAAAAACTATGCTTATTGATTAATTTTTTTTTAAAGTAGCATGAATATAACCCCCCCCCAAATTTTTCTTCTAGGCTTGTGAATAAGACTGCATTAATTATCACTAATAACTAGAGACATGGGCTTAATCGCAAAACTTAATGTGAATATGTGATTGAACGGTCGAAGTGTTAGCTGTAAACCCCGTGGCATTAAATCTCAATATCTAAGTTTTTTTTCTCTTTTTTTTTTTTTTTTGGTGGGTAGGAAATTGGCTCAGGACAATACATGTTTCACAAAAAAGATTATTAGTCTTTTCGGTATCAGCACCAGCACAAGGTTCGCTGGATTGAAATATTGAGCCACGGTTTTCAGTCGGTACAGACATTAATTGGGAGGAAATCAGAATCACACAAGAGTCAATTGCCAACATCATTTTCTTTTGACAATTTGCTCTGGAAGAATTGGTCAAGAAAGTATAAATTTCCCCCTCGGCTCCTCACTTTTTAGCGTTCCTATGTATATATATATATATACATATAAAAAAAGGCGATTAACTAAATTGATGGGATTAATTTCACTTTAAGATCTTAAACTACTGTGAATGTGATCTTCGTACTTCAAACTTCAATTCATCACCATGTGGCAATCAATTGGAGCTCCGATTTTAAATTGAGCCTATCTGTGACAAATGGATAAAGAAACTGTGTACAGTCCAAGCATACGAATTTGGAAATCAGCAAATATGGTATCCCATCCAATCAGAATCAAGAACTCATGTCAGGACCGAAAACAATTGTAGATTACTCGAATCGTCGTCCAACATTTTCCACAGAGTTTGGTCCAAGTCCACTAAGAAAATTGCATAAAGCCATCAACAATTCGCTTTCATCCCGTTCTTGTAATCGTGCTGATTGTCCCATTTAACGCCTAAATGCACAGCCGGTCGTGCACTGTTTCGCGCATAATAAAATGACAAAGCGGCTTGTCTATGTTCGCAACTTTTTCTCATATTTCTTCTACTTGAAAAGTCACTGCTCACTTGGCATTGCTAATTTGTTCTTTGTAGAATGAGCAGTGTCATCACCGGCTAATCATTTAACTTTAGTTCCAGCACTCTGTATAATGTCGCAACTTATTCATTCACCATCGATACGAGTCATGATTTGCAAACTCTCGAGGAAGCAAATTATAATTCTTATTATTCGATGCACACTTATATTTTCTTGTTTTTGTACTGCATTTCTCAGCTACATTTACATTGCAAACATTGCATATAGCTTCGGGTAAAATATATAAGTAGATTATCGGAAAAGTTAGCTTGAAATGCTGCAGGAATCACAAACATCTCTCGGGGTAAGCGGGAAAAAACTCCAGTCTCTTATTTACAGTTTCTCTCATTTTACTATCCAACCCAATCATTTCCCAAATAAGAGGACGAACTTACGAAAACACATGTAAGTACTTTCTGAGAGTGTAATCGCAAACATTTGATATTTTTAGTCAGGTGAATTTCAAATTTAGCAAGAGCTTGTAAAATAACTTCTTCCATTTTTCCAACACACACATAAAGGAAAAAAAAGAAAAGAAAAAAAAGAAGAAGAGTTGCAAAACCTAACCCATGTGAAATAAATTCGTATGCCTGAATTATTATTATTCCCCAGTGCATCTTGTTAAATGAAAAGGAGGAGGCGTAGATGGCAATAATCCCAACCTAATAACAAGTGGACAAGCGCATTGCAGGTTCAGATGAGCTACATGTATGTACGGATGTTCCAAACTAAAAAATCAGGAATAACGAACAAAGTCAAGGGTGCAGCTACAAGATTTCAACAAAATTAAGAAGCCTCAGCTCCTGTTGCAGGCTAGCTAGTACTGATAGCAACTTTCCTCAGAGAGGGCAGAAATTTCAACCTCTCATTATGTCTGTGCCAAACAGTCGATGATGCTAAACAGTCAGTAGTGTGTTTGATAGGAAACCACACATACCTAATGCCAAAAAATGTTGGGGCTAAAGAATAGACCCCAGCCTGTTTATATTCAAGTCACACCACAGTCTATACACTATACTTTCATTCAAGACGCGGGCAGGCTTGGGAGAGAGGTTGGAAATAGACCACACCTTGTTCTGCGCCAAGTGTTCCAATTATCCTTAATTTCTTTCCCTTTCCCTTTTCTCCTTTTTGGAGGAGCGGGGGGGTGAAGGCGTTTCTTTTTCCCTATAGTCAACTTAGATTTGTAGTTTACAATATTCATTTGCCAGTAAACTGGGTCGAGTTAACATCAAAACGACATAAAGAAAGGGAAAACATATAATAATCTTTATGACAATTTTAATGCTCCAATCGTGTATAAAGAATCATAGATGTCGACTTCCATGACCAAGCGAAGCAAATGCAGGTACGAAATTATGTGTTAAGTGGAACCTGTAGGTTCAATCATATCAAGAGCTATTTATTTAGAAAAGTTATGGCAGTAGATCATATCTAATCTGCTTGAAATAGATTGAGCAAAGATTTTTTTTTTATCTAACTTGAATGATTAAAGACAGCCATCTTTCTTTAAAAAAAAAATTGACAGCCATCTTTGGGAACATTTTCTAAATGAGTGTACGGCCAGTCTAATCTTCTTAAAAAGTTTTGTAGTATGTTACAATTTACTCAATACAAGAACACAGAAGAGTTGGGGACGTTAGGTTAAGGGGAAGAGGACAATATTTTTGGCAGCAAAGGGGGAGGATTAGAACCTCTTTTTTTTTTTTTTTTTTTTTTTCTAAGACGTGGACAGCTTTATTTGTTGTAACTTCTGATTGTTGCTAGTTTCTATTTTCTACGCTTGAAAAAGAAAGGGGCTTTTTTTTTTTTCATCAATGACTCGTTCATCATAGATTAATTATATTTCTAAAGAATATACAGGTCTCAATCCCTATGAGTTTCTCCCCCAAAAAAAAAAAAAAAAAAATCAATCCTCGTGACTGGAGAGTTTATTGCTCGAGTCAGCTCCAATGGGCTGCTGGCCCAAGCTTCGCGATCGTCAAGTCACATACAATTCAGCCGAATGATCCAGACGAGATACTCCCTTTTTGGAAAGCTTAAAACTCTTGGCTAGAATTCTTTGATGGGCTGTTGTTTGAACTCGAACTGCTCATCAAGGAGGCCCAAACACTTACAAAATCACACGGTAACAACGAATTGTTAATAAACAATTTCCTCAAAATCATGCTGGTTTAGGTAAAAGGAATGGCGAGGGAAAGGGAAGATGGGAAGTACTCTTGAATTTTTCCCATTTTGGAAGACAAAAGTTTCTCAGTCCTTTTGCCTTATATTTCCTTCCAAACCTTGATTGAATGGAAGACGGGAGAGATACACAGAGAGGAGTAAAACCATCACAACAAGGTTGTCCATAACAATAACATCCTTCAATGCACCAATGATTAATATTCTTAACACAAAACATGGAAGTGGAAACAATAGATCGTCTCGATCATCAGGTCAACGGGGGTGATCCTTCTTTGTAGTCATGTTCATCAGTCTCTTCCATGCTTTAGAACCGTTCATAGAACTTAAAAAAAGCAAGATTGGTGCTGCAACCCCAAACGCTTGCTGAGCTTTAATGCTTCAACCCAGCTGCTGATGATTTCCAAGAGCAGCAGGTCCAACCCTCAAATTACATAGGTATCATGAGTAAAAATCATGATCAGAAGAATGAAATTACATAGAGATCGCGAGGAAAAGGCATGACCAGAAGTATGAAATTACATAGAGATCGCGAGGAAAAGACATGACCAGGTGTTAAATGAGTGAACTTCTACGGTTGAAGCATGATTGACGAAATCTTCAAATTCTACGCACTGTAGGAATAGCAATGGCGAAGAAGTAGTCTACAAAGGGCTTTTGTTGACAAAGGGAAAGCGTGGGAGAGAGAAAAGGCGAGGTGGAGAAGGTCTGGAAAGCCCTAAATTTAGTGATGGGGGATATTTTGATCCTCCACTACCGATCTATTAGAAAAGATGCACATCACATGTTCTTCATATATATATATACATCAATGGCAGCTTCCGTGTTCCAGCCGGAAGGAGGTTAGTTCCTTAACTCCTTGAAGTCTTTCGACATCTCCAGTGGATCTTTGTTCGATCTTGACAGCGTTTTGATTTGCAGGCCTTGAGATCCATCTTCATTCTTCTTCACAAAGTTGATAGATTTTGAACTATGCAAAAGAGATATCGCCTGATGGGTAGGGACAGTAGTGAGTCACAAACAAACAGAATAACTATATGGCAAATTAAACAAATCCTGTAGATACTTGCTGGTAGGACAGAGGTAAGATATTGGGAAAGAAGTCAAGAACATATAGACATGTATTTGCAGAAACAAGCAGCAGCCGGAGAAAGGGATGAGAGCGTAACAAGTCAGAAGTACCTTTAACAAGTCAGAAGTCAGAACAGTACCTTTAAGTTGAGAAGAGAAAGTGTAATTCTCGGGAACCAATCCTAAGGATTGCTAAGATAAGAACTAAACCCTGAGGTGGAATTTCACCTGGGCATAGCCGCGGACAATTGAGTTTGAAGAAGATAATATACGGTTGGAAAAGCTGATAAAAAAAGAGGTACGGATGGTGGCATTGACCCATGAGAACTGCGAAAGTACTTAAAAATGTACAGAACTTCAAGAGATTTTCTGTGAAAAGGGTACTATCAGTTTGGAGCTGGGTGTTGATTGAATAGGCTTGCATTTGTTTTAAGCTGCCTCAGAGAATTCTGAGTTGGGTGGGACTTGAAGAGAGAGAAGGGCAAGCTTGTTGGGAGATGCTGTCCTTCCTTGGTCTGTCCGTATTGGATCTTAGGCGAGAATGGTGTTATGTCAAGTGCTAAGTGCAGGTGCAATGCTAAGCATGCAGCAGCAGAGGCTGCTGTTATGGCTTGGTTTAAATAGAAATCGCCTAAAGAACTCAACTCTCATCGCCATCGGTCTTCTATTCTATTGGGTTCCTGCAACATTTATTTTCACAATATTCACTTATGGGAGGAATGTGGAGTAATTTTTTACAGACAAATATTTAAGTCAAATCAACAAAAGAAAAAGTGAAATGTCAAGAAAATACAAATCACACTTGAAGTTATAGAAAATATTTGAAAGTGTAAGAAGTTAAGGTTTTAAGTACCTAAAAAAAAAGGCAACTTAATAGATATATATATTACACATTTTTGGATGTATATGCAAAAAAGAAAAAATTAATATATTTTTGGATTTGCCTACACATTTGGTTACATGTAAAATGAGTGCTAATGTAATATAAAAACAATACAAGTATAATATAAGAAAATTTTCTCCGGTTAGTCCCTAATTGGACGATTCTATTACCATCTCTAAGTTACAAGTAATTGCAACTATGATATGATGAGTCTGGAAATAACCGAATTTCTTAATTAATTCAAAGTGAGCCAAAATTCAGTGGAAGTATTAACTAGAATTTTAGGGTGTAAGTTTAAACAGGTCAAACAACAATGCCGGTACTATGGAATTAATCGTAGCAATCGAGACAAGCTTGATGTTCAGCACTGCAAACACGCCTCTTCTATAGCAAATGATTGTTAGCAATGTATGCTGGAAGGATTTTGAATATTTTGGAAAAATTAAAAATTCATATATTGGTATAGTCTGCTTAGCTCTTAATTGGTTGAGGATTTGATATCCAAATCTATTGTTCCAAAGGGACCTTGGGTGAATTTCATTTAGGGCCAATGACACTTTGTTCCCTTGAACTTAGGGGTAGTCATATTTTACCCCATTTAACCTTAAATAAAGTTTATTCTTTATCGTATCAACTATACAGCAATCTCTAAAAAAAGCTAAAATAAAGTTTATAGTTAGTTTATATCTTTAAAATTTTTCTTGTTGGGTTAATATTCACTTTTATATATGTTTTGTTTGCTTTAAGTCAAACAAAAAGGATAATAACACGATACTAAAATAAACATAATTACCAAATTTATTTTTAGAAAAGGTAATACTAAACTTGTCTTTTGATTAAAAAAATTAGTTTTCACTATTTTAGATTACGTTCTTTTAGGCTAATACTATTTTCATTTTTTGTTGATATATTTTTATAGTTTACCATTGTTTCCTTTTTTAAAATAAAATTTGATTTAATCTCCATTTTTCTTCTCTAAGTTTAAAAATAAGGCGTATAATTCATTTTTAGCAATTTTGGATGAGAATTTCATGTTGGACAAATTTGATAAATAAAAATAACACTACTATTAGTCTAAAAGTTTAATAAATTAAAATAATAAAAAACTACTTCTTAAAAATATGAGCTTAGTCTTACCCTTTTTCTTTTGAAAATTTGCTAATGGTGTTTATTTTTAGTATTAAGCTATTTATCCATTTTGTTTGACTTAAAGTCTAATAAATTGATTAAAACATATATAAAAGTGAACATTAATGCAATGAAAAAAATTCAAGGATATAAACTAAATATTAGATGTCTTTAACTTTTTCTAGTTTGATATTTTTGTATAGTTGATGCGGTAAAGAAGATATAAATCTTTTAGTAATGAAACTAAATGATACTAAGGGTGCGTTTGATAAAACTGAAGTCTCAAATCTGAAATTTAAATCCAATAAATTATTGAATTGATAAGTATTAAGTCTAATACATTTGAGTGCATATCACATTCAATGATAAGTGAATAAGTCATTACTTGATTTTGGGAGTAAGTTTTGTTTAGAAAATTCAGTGTCATTTAATTAATTAAGATATTCAATTTTTAGTTATCAAACGGTTTGAATATGTTAATATATGAATCAATTAATTTTAAGTACTGAATTGGGTTATCAAACAGGATCTAAGTTATAGATAAGTTCATGAAATTAAAGGCTAATAATGTCATTGCACTTACTCTTTTCTTTTTTTTTTTGTATTTCTAGGTTTGACCGGCAATCATGGGAATTAAATGTATATATTTAAAGTTGAGGGGGATAAAGTATGACTGCCCCCTTAATTCAGGGGGATCAAGGTGTTAATAATCCCTTCATTATGCTAAGAAAGATTATTCTCATTTTTTCGACATAACAAGAGAAAAATATGCAACACATCCAAGCCGTTTTCGATATATAAAATAGAAAAATATCTAATATTTAGTTCAAATTCGTATAAATTTAGTTTAATCACCAATTTAATTGTATAAATTCATAAATTTAGAATAGAGTTTATACTTAAGGTTGTAAGAATTACGCACACAACTTAAATTTTAAGGCCTTGTCGTTTCATCCGGGACGCCAATCTAATAAGCACGGGCAGCTACTGTGTTATTCATGAATTTGCTTCACAGTTCACACCACTCCCAATAAAGCCAAAACTGGGACATTAAGGTGTCTACCCTCCGAAAAATGCTCAGCCTCGGGAGATTAACAACATGGCAACAATGCAACTCTGCGGTTCCTCGAAACTCCAAGTCAAGAGCGTTCAATTTTCCGGCGAAAACCCACCCAACCCGAGTTTCATTTTCTCCGAATAGACTCATCCGCCTTGCTCTTTTTAGTGTTCTTGGCCGACCAAGAATAGGGTTTTGCATATATGCCTCGAATAGACAACCACAAGGTGGCAATAGTGCATTGGAAATGCATGATTTTGAGGAAGATGGTGACTTTTTTGATGATGAAGAAGAAGAGGAAACGGGTTTTGATGAAGATGAGGAATTTATTCCCTTGACTAATATGAAGAAGTGGCTTGAGAATAAGCCACGTGGGTTTGGTGAAGGCAAGGTTTATGACACTTCCATTGAGGATAAGCTCATGGAGGAAATAGAGCAGAGCAGAAAAGCTCAGCTGGCTAATATCAATAATCTCAAGAACAAGCCTGCCATGGCCATTTCCAAGAAGGAACAATGTCAGCAAGAGAAAGGTTCGTTATTGTGTAGTTATATTTTCTTTTCATTGACTGCGCTTTATTAATCTGACATTACTTGCTACAAAGTTTCGAGCAGCTGCTTATTTTTGCTTAAACTTTATTAATTTGAAAGAAATCGACAAGTTTAGTTCAAAGATTAATCTGTTTAGACTGATGATGTCTCTGTTTGCTATTGGGGTACATCTTTAAGTGCTTGTGGGCTACTTAAGACATGGGTACATTGCATATTACAAATATGTAATTGGCCCTCTAAATAACAACCCATAAGGTTTTGCTTTTGCAAGGAATGATTCCTAATTGGAGTTCGTGAACAGAACCACAATATCTTTTTCTTTTGGCCATTGAAATAATCAGTCTTTGATCTATTAAAACCTCGGAGCCTGTTGGGTCTGAAATTCTACGATTACCTAATGTGTTTTTCGTCTTTTTTTTTTTTGGAGCTTGTAGAATACCAGTTAAAGCATGTGCAAAAGGTCTTAATTCATGAAAAAATGAGTCAAGTAAAAAAAATTGAAAGCTTGGGGGTGCCAAGCTTCTGTAACACTTTAATAACTTCTGGATAACTATCTAGAAGATGCTTTGGGTTCATTACCGGAGGCTTGTTTGTTTCTGTTGGCTACTATTTCAAGATATTGCAGCTTATCACCTTTAACAATTTATTATTGATATCATAGGTGCTAGAAGAGATGGGGCCACTGGCCATATTTGACCTTAATTTAAGCTGTAAATCAGTGAATCAATGAAGAACCTTCAATCCATTTGAGTTTAGATGAAAAGCAGCATTCTGAGCCTTCAAAATATCAAGAGAAGGAAGAGAGTGCAAAATTTTCAACATTGTAGAGGGTATTCCAGTATCCCAATTATCCATATAGGAACAAGGAAAAATGAAAGAGATGTGGCAGTAAATGATACCGTTTAAAAACAGAAAGCTTAGTTATTAGATAGTTTAGTAAATGGAATCAGGTTACAAAATTTTATTCCTGTGTGGATCTGATTCACTCTTGCAATTATTTGTAGTAAATTAGCCTTTGTAGATACAATTCTTATTTTTTCCAGTTGAATCTTGCCTAGTGATGTATGGGGGAATTTTGCAGTCTCAGAAGAGGGTAAACATGGATTTCGTGTCCGTTTGATCAACCTCCCTAAGAAAAAGAATATCCACAGGGATCTTCGGTCGGCTTTTAAAGGAGTTCCTGGAATACTTGATATCATACCAGTTGTTTCTGGAAACAAAAGAACCAAGGACCCTATCTGCAAAGGCCTTGCCTTTATTGATTTCAAAACGAAGAATGAAGCTGATAGGTATGCTCCAAAATGTGTGTAAGATGTCTATCTTTTTATTTTTTTTCTCTTGAACTTACTTTGGTTGTCCAGGTGGCAAAAGCTGAAGCTTTTACCCCCCACTAGTTTTTGCTCCGACTATAAAAGAAATCATAATAACCAGCAACACAAAACACAGTGCTTTTGGTCAATATTTCATCTTCCTTTGAAATCCATTGCATTCAGAATATCTATTCACTGCTAAACCTGCATCTGCTATGCACTCTTGTTTAATTCCTGTTTTGATTTGATAACACTTGATGGTATAGGTGTGAAACAGATTTGTTGTTTAGAGAGGCATATATTTTTATTGTAATATAAGCTAATTTACACATCATTGTAGATTTGTACAGACTTTCTCCGGACAAAGTATTACCTTTGGTAAGGTTCAGAAGCAGATAAAATGTGACATGGATTTCAGCTTACTTAAACCTGGGAATGAAGATTCTGTTGGGGGAGATAGCTACACTGATCAAATAGTGGTGGAGGCAGAAGAACTTTATGATGAATTTGCTAGTGAAGATGAGGTGCATAAATCAGCAGAAACTGAAGAGAGTGAAGATTCCAGAAGTGGTGTACCAATTCCAGAATTTAGATACGGGGGTGTTGCGGAAGAAAGAGAACGGTCTGTTACAAAACCAAATTCATCCAAACAACAAG